CGCGCCGGGCTCCGCCGTGGCCGCCGGATTTAGAGCCTCGAGTGCGCAGAATCCTGCCGGCGACCCCTGCCCCGCGCGGGCCCGCTTCCACTGCCGTTCTCCGGTGTGTTCCCAGCACCGCTTCACCCGGACACCCGCTCTGTGTTACTTGTTACACCGATTTTGATTTTTGTTTTAATTTATTTTTTGTATTTTTCAAGCAGCCTCCCTATGCAGTTCAGGCTGGCCTTGAGCTCACTTTGTAGCCCAGGCTGGTCTCGAACTCGCAGTGCTCCTCCTGCCTCAGCTTCCCGAGTGCTGGGATGACAAGCATGCGCCACCGCGCCGCGGATTTTGAATTAGTAAAAATAAGTACTTTTTAAAAATTGTATGTTAGGGGCCGGGAATATAGCCCAGCAGCACAGCGCCTGCCTGGCAAGTGCAAGGTCCTTGCAAAAAACAAAAAAACTGTATGTGTTAGGGTACTGGGGATCGAACCCAGGGCCTTCCACCTGAACTGCATCCCCGGCCCTATTTAATTCTTTGTATTTCTTTATTTTTGAGACAGGGTCTTGCTAGGTTGCCCAGGCTGGGCTGGAACTTTTCCATCTTCTTGCCTCAGCCTTCCTGAGTGCTGGGGTTGCAGGTGTGCACCACCACTCCAGGTTTAAAAGAACCTTTTTTTTTTTTTCTTTTTAACCTAGCATTGTCCTTTGGAAATCATCCGTGCTGTGAGTTTGATTCTCTTCAGAGTGCTGCATGGTGCTACCCTGGGTGCATAGAACCCGTTTTATTTACTCGTTTCCATAGTGATGGTCACTCAGATTGCTCCCGGTATTTTAACCACCGAAGACAAGACTGTCGGGAGTACTCTGGCAGTTATGCCTGGTGGGCATTGGTGATTCTGTCTGGGTTATCCACTCCAGAGTAAAATGGTAGACCACACCTAATTCTGCGTGGTGGTTTTCTGGAGAAGCCACACCAGTTTATACTTTCCCACAGCAGAGCACGGAGGTTCTGATTTCCCCTGTTCCCCCAGTGTTTGGTACTGTGTAGGCTTATCAATCCGATTGCTTAGGGTAGTAGCCCATTGTGTTCATTTTAATGCATTTACTGTACTAGCAAGGTGGGTTTTGCCTTTTGTGGATTGCCTATTTTATTTTATTTTATTTTTTGTCTTTTTTGAGATGGTCTCGCTATGCAGTTCAGGCTGGCCTTGAGCTCACTCTGTAGCCCAGGCTGGTCTCAAACTCACAAGATCCTCCTGCCTCAGCCTCCCGAGTGCTGGGATTACAGGCTGTGTGCCACCATGCCCAGCTGAGCTCTATTCTTAGTCAGGGCCTGGTCCCGGTAAGGAACAACATAGATAAGCTTGAGAACTATTAAAGTTTAACTGCCCTGGGGCTTCTCTCTGCTTCTGACTGTCCTTCAGGCCCAAGTTAGATCTGCAGTTTCTCCAGCGGTTCCTGAGAATACAGAAGGTCCTGTTTCCTTCCTGGTCCTCACAGAATGTCCTGATGTTCCTGACTCTTCTGTGTGTGGCCCTGCTGGGTGAGTGAGCGAGCCCTGGGCTTTGGTGAGGGAGGTCTGCGCTGGTGTGGGATCCGTTCCCTCCTCTCTGGGGTGTTGATGAGGCTGGGACTGGGGAGCCTCCTTCCTTTCCCTTCGTCACTGGTTTCTGACCTCCTTCCTGCAGAACAGTTGGTGATCTACCAGGTGGGCTTGATCCCCAGCCAGTACTACGGCGTCCTGGGAAGTAAGGACTTGGATGGGTTTAAGGCGCTGACATCGCTGGCTGTGGTGCTCATCATCCTCAACTCCACAGTAAGGGCTTCCTGTCGTCTCCCTTCCTTCCGCCCAGGGTGAGTGCAGTGCCCAGCAGGACTTAGCTCCAGGAAGCAGGAGCCAAGCTGCGGCTGTGTGTGTTCCTTTTCTGGGACCCGGAGGAGTGGTTGTCTGAAAGCTAGAACCCTGGGCGGGGACGACCTTGCTGTTGGCCCGCTTGGGACCGAGTCCGCAGGTGTAGGCCACAAGGTTCTGGCTTAATCGAGCATTTAGCGGAAAAGGTCATTGTCCTCACTGTTCCTGGAACTCCTGCTCTGGGAGCCCAGAGAGCTTTAAAACCGGAGTCAACAGCAGAAGCCGCGGCTGATCCTCCCGCACCTGCGGTGTGACCTGGCCTGGCGCCACAGCGCACCCCGCTGCCACCCCTGCTGCTCGCTCTCAGAGCAGCCTCCTCCCCTCCCCGCAGCGGGTGGCAGAGGCTGCCTGCTCCTCCACGCACCTCCCTGGTCGGCTCTCTCGAGTCTTTCTTCCTCGTGTTTCCCCCACCACACTCAGAACCACACTCAGCCCTGCTTCTGTCCGGAGTTCATTCTGTGCGTGGACGAGGCTATCACGCTCCCTACACCCTCGTCATTGCCCCTGGCTGGCCCTGGAGCACTTTGTTATTTCCCAGCTGTTCTGTATGGAGGGAAATAGGAACAGAGGTGCCTCACCAATACCCAGTGCAGGTCGGGGCTCTGCCAGATCCCAGCCTCACGTGCTCCGTCGGCTGGACCGGCTGCTTCCGGGAAGCCGCTTCCCGCCGCTCCGTGGCTCTTGCTGGGCCTCCGGCGGGTGGGCACCTCGGTAGACGCACACGGTCCTCTGCTTGGTGTGCCACTGCGCTGTCACCGGGCTTGAGGGTCTTGCCTTTGGTGAAGGAATAAACACAGGAGCGAATGGGGAAGGAAGGATCCCATGACCCGAGGCTTTCAGCAGGGAAAGTGCTGAGCAGTCGTTGTGGGCTGGGCCTGGCGGCAGAGGCTTCTGCCAGCCCTGAGCTTTGAACCGAGGCCGCAGGAAGCCGTCTGTGCCTCCCCTGCCTCTCCCTGCCTCCGCCCCTGCACAGCTGAAGAGCTTTGACCAGTTCATCTCCAGCCTGCTGTACGTGAGCTGGAGGAAGGACCTCACCGAGCACCTGCACCGCCTCTACTTCCGGGCCCGCGTGTACTACACGCTTAACGTGCTGCGAGAGGACATCGACAACCCGTAGGTGCCGCGGTCCTCGCGGCTGTGGGCCCCGCGGAGGTCACGTGCAGTGGGCAGTTGGTGCTGCCCAGGCCCGTGGGGGGAGGGTGCTCTGCAGGGAACCCAGGTTGGGCTGAGAAGAGGGGCCCAGAAAGAAGCGCCCAGAAGCAGCGTCCTTGTGTCTGTTTCACAGCCCGTGCTTCTCAGCAGGCTAATGGAGAAAGTGTCCTTGTTAGAAACAAACCCTTGGGCCAGGGACGCAGCTCAGCGGCACAGCACCTGCCTGGCAAGCGAAGGCCCTGGGTTTGAGTCCCGGCACCAAAAAAAACCTTACATTTTCAGCAGCCAGAGGAAAGTTGCCGTTGTCTCAGACTCAGTCTAGGGTTTGCATCCGAATCCTGTCCCCCCAGCTTCCAGCTCTTACGCTCGCTCGTGAAGCCCCGGGTGGCCCTTGTGTGAAGCGAGGGCAGTAACAGCGCCTGTCCCACAGGGTGCCGTGAGCGTGAGCTGGTAGCGTGCGTGTCATGTGCAGCGCCCGGCGTGGCGAGCGTCCCAGTCGGTAGCCGTTGTTATTTTGTAGTCAGGAACTGAGGCCCAGGGCTGCAAGCACCGGGGTCGCTTCTGTCCTCGGGAGTAGGAGTCCGTGTGCCGTGGTGGCGAGGGGCCGAGGGGGCCGCGCTCACTCCCACCCCGCTCGCCGCTCCGCAGGAAGCGCTTTGCTGCCCGCGCAGCCTTTCTTCCGCTGAGGTGCGCTCTGCCGCTGAGGCGCTGGGAGAGCTGCCCCGCTGCCCACCGTGGCCGCTCCCTGGCGGCTCTGCCCGGTGAGGCTCCCACAGCCAGACGCTGTCCGGGGCAGGCTCAGGCCCAGAGAGCTGGGGGACGGAGCTGAAAGGACCATGTTCCTGATCACCAGAAAGGCAGCTCCCCACCCTCAAGTTCCCGTTGGCTCTCCTCAGAGCTGGCTCAAGCTTCTGGTGCTGGGCTTTCCGTCCTACTTTTTCAGGGGGTAAGCTGAGGCACCGGAAGAAGCCACTGTCTAGAACCCGGTGTAGAGGTCCTCAGGCGCAGGTCCGGCCCCGAGCCCTGCCTCGGCTGCTGCGGCTTCGGGGGCGTCATTGCTGCGGGCGCTGAGAGCGAGGTGGGGAGCGCGGCCCTGCTCCCCCTCCCGCTCCCTCTCCCTGACGGGTGGCTGTCCCCGGGCTGCAGGGACCAGCGCATCAGCCAGGATGTGGAGCGGCTCTGCCGGCAGCTCAGCAGCATGGCCAGCAAGCTGATCCTCTCGCCGTTCGCCCTCGCCTACTACACTTTCCAGTGCTTCCAGAGGTGCACCCTCCTCCTGCCGGCCCGCCCCAGCGCTGTCCCCAGGCTCACACAGGGCTCAGGCCGGGTCTCGGCGGGGCTGCTCTCCCCCTCCCACCTGCATCCCCGGAGGCCCCTGCCCTCCCCGGCCCTGGGGCGCTTCAGGGTCACGGGGACCTGGCAGTCTTGGCAGGTCACGCGGGAGCAGAGGCCACGGGGCTGCCTGCGAAGGGATGGAGGGGCCAGGCCTGCGAGGCCTCCCGCCCACGCCCTTCTCTGCCCTCTCCCGCCTCGCCTTGCAGCACAGGCTGGCTCGGGCCCGTGAGCATCTTCGGGTACTTCATCCTGGGAACGGTGGTGAACAAGACTTTGATGGGGCCCATCGTGGCAAAGCTGGTGCAGCAGGAAAAACTGGAGGGAGATTTTAGGTGTGTGTCTGGCTTAAGGTTTCCTGTTTGTGTGTGTGTGTGTTGAGACATCGTCTGCTAGGTAGTTCGGGCGGACCTTGAACTCTCTGTGCAGCCCAGGCTGGGCCCAAACTCGTCATGATACTCCTGCCTCAGCTTCCAGTTGCTGAGATAACAGACATGAGCCACCATACCTGGCCGCGCTTGAGGTTTCTGGGCTGGGCATGTTAAACAAGGGGACCCGGGGTAGAGCTGCCTTAGCTCGAATCCCAGCGGGCAGTTAGCTGTGTGATCCGGGGCGAGACCCTTCGCCCCGTGAGTGTCAGTGTTGTCGTCTAAAGTGGGCCGGTTCAGCTGCCGTCTGAAAGGACGGAGAAACTGCACAGGAGCAGCAGGGTGTGTCCAGTCGGCCACCGCGATGTCGTTGCCATCCTTGGCCCCTCACCCACTCTGCCCAGCCGTCCTTTCTTGGAGGTGGGGCCCAGCGGCTGTGCCGCGGTCTCCTTGCCTCTCCTTCGGGGCGGGCCGAGGGGAGGAGGTGCTGCGGGCAGGAGCGCCGTCTGCGGAGGCTGAGGCCAGCCTTGTCCGGGCCCAGTCCCGGGGTTCTCCACCCCTGAAACTGCGCAGAAAAGGTGGCAGGGGCAGTGGCGACGCTGCGTGAGAGCTGCTCTCTGCTTTGCCCCGGCGTGGGAGAGGCGGGGTCCTCTCGACCCGGGGCTCCTCGCCCTCAGCACAGATTGCCCTCCTCTCTGCCCAGGTTCAAGCACATGCAGATTCGGGTGAATGCGGAGCCTGCTGCTTTCTACAGGTGAGTCTGCCGGAGTGACCCTCCCGCCTGCAGAGCTGGTAGCGAGGAGGGGAGGCGAAGTCTGCAACCTGCCTGGCACCACGCTCGGCTGAGCACTGTCGCCGGCTGTGCCCCTTTCCCCTCGCTGTCCCTGTGGATTTGCTTCTGAAGCTGCGGGCCCCGCGGCGGCCGGCTTTGGGCTGGTGGGTTACCACGCAGCCTGCAGGGGCCAGAGAATGAAATGATAAGGTGCTGCTTCCGCGGATGACGGGAGGCGCCACCTCTGCCTCTGTGTGCCAGCGCCTGGTATTCGGGGCAGTTCTTCGTGCCTCTGTGGCATGGGCGGCAGTGGCAGCGCTCTGAGGCTGTGGGGCGGCACCTTGCCAGGCTCCCAATCCCAGTGTCGTGCAATCTTGGGCCAGGCAGGTCCCTGTGCCCTGCCTTCTGGGGCCTTCTGAGTCACCCCCGTGGTGCGGGCAGCCGGGCTTGTAGGTAGGAAGCTGTGCGCCTCCTTGGGTCGTCTTCCCTGGGTCTCTTGCTCTCCTGTCCCTGCTGCAGTTCGCAGCCAGCGCCGCTTGGGAGCCCCAGGAACGCCAGGAATCTGAGCTGGCCCTGGGTGACGGGTGGGTAGGGCTTTGCTTTTGGAGTCTGCAGCTTCTCACAGAGCTCTGGGAAAGGTGGGTTCGTTCTTGGGGCTGCAGACCGGGCCTTGTGCAGCCTTGAAATGCGCCTCTCATCCTCCACCTTTGCCTGGAGAACTTGCCCCTGACTGTAGGCGCCCGTCCCCGCCTCTGGGGCGTGCTCACAGACTCATAGCGGGAGAGCTCAGGTCCACGTTAGCGTGCCCCTGAGGGCGCACTTGACCCTCACACTCCTGGTGGAGGGTGCGGCGTGTCCGCCTGCCCTCTGAGCCGGGCTTGCACAAGGACAGGAGCTGTTTGTCTCCCTCTGGCTGACAGCACAGAGCCGGGCAGGAGTGACCGCTGCACTGCGTGTGGTTAGTAGTAGCTCCTGTTTGTGGAGGGCTCCAGCTCCTGTACCTGGTTCTTTACGTTTTGGTGGTAATGGAAATCAAACTTCACACTGAGCTACATTCCCAGGCGTTTTTTGAGACGTGGTTTTGCTAAGTCACTAAATTTGGAAGCTAGGCTGGAACTGGTGGTTCTCCTGCCTCAGCCTTCCAGAACTGCATGCAGCAGCACGCTGAGCGTTTTTTTGTTTTGTTTTGTTTTTTGAGACATGATCTTGTGAAGCAGCCCAAACTGGCCTTGAACTCACCATCTGCTTGCTGTAGCCCCAAGCACTGGGATGGCAGGTGTACACCACCACACCCAGCTTATATTCAGAAACTCTTAATCACTGATTTATTACATAGATATTCTCAGCTCCATTTTACAGATGAGGAAAACTGAGGCATCAGATGTGTAAGTAACCTGCCAGTGTCACTCAGCTGGAAACTGGCCAGAGCCCGGATTCTAACCAGGTCTGGCCGAGCCTAGAGTTTGCATTCTTCTCCCAGGCAGTGCCGTGGGGAATAACAGGCAGAGAGTGCGTGCTAGTGGCAGAAGGGATCTGAGACTGAGGTCGTTTTCATGGGCCTGATGAGGTGGGCCCAGCCTGCCGAGTCCATGCAGAACCCACGGACACCCCGGCCTTTCTCAGCAGAGCCGGCCACGTGGAACATGCGAGGACAGACCGCAGGCTTCAGAGACTCGTGCAGACCCAGAGGGAGCTGATGTCCAAGGAGCTCTGGCTGTACAGTAGGCAGAGGGCCCTGAGGGGGACCACGGGGCACAGAGGGTCCGACCGTTTGTCTTCCCACTGCCCACCCTCATCCGCCTGCTCTGATGGTGGAATTACCCGGGAGCCACAGCCTTTGCTGTGCCTTAGTCCTCAGGAGCGGGAGGACGGGGCAGCGTGGCCCCACTCGGCTTCCTGTTCCTCAAGGGTGGGGTCCCCCGCAGCATGAGCAGGTGGCCCCGGACCTCACGGGTCTGTCTCCCACAGTCGGTGTCAACACCTTTGACTACATGGGCAGCATCCTGAGTTACATAGTCATTGCGATCCCCATTTTCAGCGGGGTCTATGGAAACCTGAGCCCCACCGAGCTTAGCACCCTGGTCAGCAAGGTGAGAGGGCCCTCCCGCCGTCTCCCCGCCGGGGCTGCAGGGCGCAGCCCGTGCTGACAGCTCTCGGTCCCGTCCAGAACGCGTTCGTGTGCATCTACCTCATTAGCTGCTTCACCAGGCTCATCGACCTCTCCACCACGCTGTCGGACGTGGCGGGTTACACGCACAGGTGAGGCTCGGCCTGGCCCCCGCAGCGGACGGCCTGGGACTCGCTCGTACACGTGGGTGTGAGGGGGCAAGGCGTGTGGCCGGCCCCTGGCCCAGTGGCTCACTCCTCACCCAGGGTTGGGGAGCTGCAGGAGGCCCTGCTGGACACGTTCCTGGTGTCCCAGGACGTGGAGAGCGAGCGCGGCTTGGACCGGTGAGTGCAGGGCTGCGGACGGTGGGGTGAGGATGCAGCTGAGCTGGGCGGGGCCCCTCCCCCTCCCGCCTGGGGCAGGGCTTCCTGTGGCCAGCACCTGTGCTGTTCTGTCACCACTGCAAGTTACGTCGTCCCGGGTAATAGAAGCCCTGCGCACGCCCCAGCCTGGACCCCGACACAGAACAGATCGGACCGCCACGCCCTCATCCCTTCCCTCCTCCACCAGCCCCTCTCAGGAATGTTTTTGACCTTTCTGTGCTTTCAAGATTTGTTTCATCTTCTCACTTTACGTAGGCAGATCACTTATCTGTCCCAAGCTGGGCATGGTGGTGCACGCCTGCAATCCCAGCACTTGGGAGGCTGAGGCAGGATTGTCCTGAGTCTGAGGCCAGCTAGTAAGACTCTGGCTCAAAAAAACAAACGAAAGAAACAAAAAGAGAGAACTAAGGAGCTGATATGCAGCTCAGTGATAGAGCACATACGTGAGGCTCTAGTGTTCAGTTCCTAGCTCCTCCATAAAAAGAAGAGAAATCAGTCGCATACAGAGCTTTGTGCAGCACGTCAGGAGAGGTGCCCCGCCCCCGCCCCTTGTGAACGGGCCCAGGCTGCAGGACAGGTACTTCAGGGTGAGGTACTGCGGCGTGAGCGACCTACACAGCATTTCTTTTTTTTTCTTTTTGAGACAGGGTCTCACTATGCAGTTCAGTCTGGCCTTGAGCTCACTTTGTAGCCCAGGCTGGTCTCTAACTTGAAACAATCCTCCTGCCTCAGCCTCCCGAGTGCTGGGATTACAGGTGTGCGCCACCACGCCCAACTCAGAATTTCTTTTTCTGGCGGCCCTGGAGGCCAGAAAGCCGAGGTTGAGCTGTCAGCGGCGTTAGTTCCCCCAGAGCCTCCCCTCAGCTCACCGACGGCCGCCTTCCTGCTTGCCTTCACACGGCCTGTTCTCTGTCCACTCTACAGCTCCTGTCAGCATCACCTCTCCTGGCTCAGCCGGGCGTGGTAGAGCACGCCTGTGATCTCAGCACTTAGGCTGAGTGAGGCAGGGGGATTATCACAAGTTTGAGTCCAGCCAGGGTTACATAGTTCAAGACCAGCCTGAATTACGTAGAGAAACCCTGTCTGAAAATAAATAAATAAATGAAGTCCACGTCTCCACAAAGAAGTTATGTTCTGAGGTGCAGGGCCTGAGATGTCATGCGGATTTGGGATTTGGGGACAGTGTGGCCCGTGCACCCCGCCCCCAGCAGAGGCGAGGTTCGCAGTCCAAGGCTGTGCTCACCCGGCTCCCTTCTCCTCCCAGGGCCCCGGGCTGCGCCGCGCCCGGGCCTGTGGGCACAGCGTTCCTCCTGGATCGGGTCTGCGTCTCAGCCCCCTCCTCCGACAAGCCCCTGGTCAAGGACCTGAGCCTGAAGATCTGCGAGGGCCAGAGTCTGCTCATCACAGGCAACACCGGCACCGGCAAGACCTCGTTGCTGCGCGTTCTGGGCGGCCTGTGGGCCGGCGCCCAGGGTGAGAGCCCGGCCCTCCCCGCCCGTGGCCTGGCGTGGCCTGGCCTGGCAGTGTGGCGGGGTCCGGCCTTCGTAGCTGGGGAAAGAGAGGGGTGAGCAGGGGAGGAGAGGTGGCAGCTCCTCGGTGGGATCTCAGCTCAGGCTTCTGCGGGCGCTGCAGGCTCCGTGCAAATGCTGGCCGACTTCGGGCCCCACGGGGTGCTGTTCCTGCCACAGAGGCCGTTCTTCACCGACGGGACCCTCCGGGAGCAGGTCAGCCGGGTCCCCTCGCCCACCGCGGCAGCTGGCAGGTCTGAGGCCCCAGGGAGTTTGGGGGTGGAGGGCGGGGTCATAGGGGGCCGTGCCCAAGGATTGGACCCCTGTACTCAGCAGCTGCTGGCTGTGGGTAAATCTGTGGGGGCGGCTGGCCACTCACTCACACGTGCTGAGCGCCAGGCTTGACTCCCGGGCCCCTGTGCGCAGGAGGCCCACAGACTCGCAGGCCCCAGCTGTTCCCCCAAACGTATTTCTGAAGATCGCGCTTACCCTGCCCCACTGCCTGCCCTGCTGGATGCCTGGGCCGGCTGTCGCTCCTCCTCGGGGGGTGCAGGAGACCGTCCTCTCGGGCACTTGGGGGGTTCCTGAGGCAGGGGCGCTGTGCCAGTCTGCCTTGTGTTAGCACTCACGCAGCGGCGTGGTGTGTGTTTCAGGTGATCTATCCCCTGAAGGAGATCTACCCGGACTCAGGTGAGCCTTCTTGGGTCATAGCACCCCGTCGTCCCCGCTCTGCCTCTGGGCTCCCGTGCTGTTCTGAGGTTCACACGGTGACCTCGTCTGGTTCTGTCTCCCCTCCCAGGGAAGAGACACCCCTGAGGGAGGGGATTGCTTCCCTTACCAAGTGTGGTCACCTGTCCCTGGGCCGCAGCCCGGCGTTCCGGGGCATCCAGCCCTGCTGTGCTGTACCCCAGGGGAGCTGCAGGTGAGGATGCCTTCTCTGCTTCGCAGGCTCTGCTGATGACGAAAGGATCTTGAGGTTCTTGGAACTGGCAGGCCTGGTGAGTGGGTAGGCCCTGTGCCCACCTGGAGCACAGACCGCAGGTAGATCCTGGCCCCACCGTCTCGGCCCGGGACGCGGGTGGAGAGCAGGGCCACACGTTGGCAGGGGGCGCTGTTGGCCGGGAGCAGGAGCACGGGGGTGTGCTCTCTCCAGAGAGGTTTGCAGCAGTGAGAAACCTGACCAAGTCTGTGTGCTTCTGTGGTCACTGCTCCAGCAGACTAAACGGTGTCACTGATACCGCGCCTGGGCGTGCGTGGCCCCGGCGTCTGTCTGCAGGCTTCTGTGTCACGGGGCTGAGGGCGGCGGGAGGCAGGGCGGCCCCTCACGGATCTCGTGCCCCTGGGTCTGTTACAGTCCAACTTGGTGGCCAGGACAGAGGGTCTAGACCAGCAGGTGGACTGGAACTGGTAAGGATGGAATTAGGGTGCCCCAGCCAGCTCCCCCATGAAGACGGTGGGGCCCCGGGGTCCCGTCGGGACAGCACGCGCCTGAGCCCAGGGGCCCAGTGTTCAGCCGGTCGTCACCACTCACACGGGTTTCATGTCCTTGGGAGCAGAGCCGGCCGCCTCTGCCCGGGCAGCGGAGCTGTGGCTGGGCGGAGCCCCCTCCGTGCAGGGCAGGGCTGGGGAGCGGCTTCCCGGAGTGAACCCCGCTTGCCCCGCCTCGCAGAAGCCAGGCCGCCCCTCCTGCAGCGCTCACCTCGCGCGCCCTTCCTAGGTACGACGTCCTGTCCCCGGGCGAGATGCAGAGGCTGTCCTTCGCCCGGCTCTTCTACCTGCAGCCGAAGTACGCAGGTGAGGCGGCCCGCGGCTGTGCATGCCAGGCGCTGCTGTATCACAGAGCGGAGCCCGCCGAGCTTCCTGCCGGGCAGCACCCGCGGCCAGCCCAGCCTGGAGGGGGTTACTTCCTCGCGGGCTGTAGGAGGCCTGCGTGTCGCCCAGCAGTGCCTGGCCGAGCCGTGGCGGGGGTGGGCCCTGGGGAGGAGCTGGGCGTCCTCGTCCTTGAGCAGCCCTGGGGAGCAGCGGCGCTCACCTCCAGGAAGCTGCGAGACTTTGGCGCAGCTCACAGGAGCGTTCTCGGCTGGCCCCGGGCGCTCTCGGCCCAGCCTCTCCTGGAGGCCGGGTTCCTGGAGGCCCGAGCAGCTCTCAGCCTCCCCTGTGCCCAGGTTGGGGTTGTGTGGCAGGGAAGCCTGGCGGCAGGGCTGGACTTTGAGCCCTTCCCTCCGTGCCCGCGGCAGTGCTGGACGAAGCCACCAGCGCCCTGACGGAGGAGGCTGAGAGCGAGCTCTACCGCATCGGCCAGCAGCTCGGGATGACGTTCGTCAGCGTGGGGCATCGGCCCAGCCTGGAGAAGGTGCGGGCCGTGAGGAGGAGGAACAGCCGGGAGGCCGGGCCCGGCTGGCGAGGGCCAGAGTTCCCTCGCGTGGGGGTCGGGTGGCCAAGGGCACAGGCTGCCCCTGCCCTGGTGGCCAAGCGCCGGCCGTGTCTCTCGCAGTTCCACTCCTGGGTTCTGAAACTCTGCGGAGGAGGAAGATGGGAGCTGACGAGAATCAAAGTGGAATGAAGCGAGGGTGTGAGGAGCTGAGCTCGGGACGGACATCTTCCCCGGGAGGCCAGGAGGCCCGCCGGGCAAGATGGGCCTGTGCAGGAGCCCGCAAGAGCGGGCCCACCTGGGCGGCCCCCAGCTGACGCAGGTCTCCCCGGGCTGCTCCTGGGGCCACACGTGGGAAGTGCTGATTGCTCACCAATTACTTCAGATCGTGTTGAAGAGAAATCCAGGCGTGTGCAAGCCGTGGGAAATGCAGGGTCAGGAAAGGGCCCGCAGCCAGGACGGCCAGTGAAATTTTGCTTGCAATAGATTTTTAACTTTGATTAACCTTTTAAATTTTATGACTTTTAAAAAGGAAAAGTGAAACGTTAAAACAAAATGTTCTTGTACCTTTTGCTCTTTCCCGGTGGCCTGCTCTCCGTAGAATGATCTTATTGACGCTCAGACTGGCGGGGGCCAGCACCTGCTGCCTGTTCTTTTTTTTTCCTCCCAGGTACCGGGAATCGAACTCACAACCTCACACTTGCCAGGCAGGTGCTGGGCCACTGAGCTAAATCCCCAGCCCCCACCTGCTGCCTGTTCTCACCCACATCCTCCTCCCCCTTCCCCGGGACCACCACGCTCGGGGCGCTCGGAGAACAAATCCCCCTTCCCTTGCAGTTAAAACGAGTTCGGAACTTTTTTCGAAAATACCTGTACTCGGGAACAATAAAAGCAAGTTCAACGGGTGCAGCACAGAAGGCACGAAAGCGTGAGGTGGGAAGTCACCGAGCCAAAATCCCTTATTCCGAAACAGTGTTCCCAAAGGTTACTTGCCTACGCCTCCGTGATCTTTGGCAGATTCTGTGCTTCTTGGCCTGTTACTTACCTAATATTTTTAAAAGCCAGGCTGGATGGCGTGTGCACATAGTTCCACCGACTTGAGAGGCTGAGGCAGGAAGATGGATAGAGCCTACAAGTTTAAGGCAAAAACAATAATAACTCCTCTTTTTAAACAGGTTTTTTCCCTGAGGGTTAAACCTAGGACCTCCTCATATGTGAGCTACACTCGAGCCCCTGAATGCATTTCTTTAACGCATTTCATTTGACACAAATGAAAGTAACTTTTAAAAAAATTGAAAACTAAATAGTGACACGAAGTTACAGCACACTTGGCCTGCAAGGACTCAGAGCCTGAGGCCTTCTGTGTAAAACATAAAGGGGTGCTGGGAGTTAGACACATTAACACCCAACTGAGATCCTTCCCTTTAATAAAACTCAAAGGGTAAAGTGGAGACTGCAAGGGAAATAGTTTTATCACTAGAATTGGAGGTTACTCAGCACCTACTGGTGCCAGTACAAAACAGCCCCAGGGGTGTGGGAGGGAGGCTGGGAAACACCCCCGGGTTACGAGCCCCATCCCGTACCCCTCTTCTGCGGCCACCGCGGGGCTCTGAGGCTTGGGCCTGGGTGTGAGGCCGAGCTGACACGGGCACCCGGCAGGTCCGATGGGCCCCGTGTCTGCCAAGGAACTGCAGGACTCTGACCCTGGAGAGGCTCTAGCAGCCCGTCCACGGCATCTCGGCCTGAAAAGGGCTCTTGGAGCTGGCATCTGACTTGGTGCTGGGGGGCACATCTGTAAGCCCTGCTACTCGAGAGGTTGAGGCAGCAGGGCCATGAATTGAAGGCCAGGGAGACGTCCTCTGTGTGTCCCGCTGACCCCCAGCAGGGGGTCTCCCAGCCCCTCTCCGGGCTTGACTCCCATCTTGGAGAAGCCCAGAAGGGAGCCGGGGTCGGGAAACCGCAAGGAGAGTCGAAGAATAAGAAACAGGAGGAGAAGCAGCGCCGTCAGCGGTGTAGCCGTGCCGTGGGCTGCCTGCAGCTGGCGGGCCGAGGGCTCTCCCGTGATTCCGCGTCGATGTCTGCTGCCCACGGCCGCGTGTCAAGTGCCTCTGGAGGGTGTGAGGGCCTGGGCCCCCCGCCTGGCGCTCCTCTGCCCCTGTGGTGCACCCCAGGTCAGAGGACTGTGAGGCGCAGGGAGGTGCTCCTGGATAAACCTCAAGTGCGAGATTCTACAGAATTCTGCATCTGCTGCGGCACCGGGCGCCTCCAGGTGCCTTCAGAATTGAAGCATCTGCAGGCAGGCGAGGTGGCACACACCTGCAGCCCCAGCTGTTCGGGAGGCTGAGGCGGGAGGAAAGCAAGTTTAGGGCCACCCTGGGCAACTTAGCAAGACCTCATCTCACAACTTTAGGAAGAGCCAGGGGTGTAGCTCAATGGCAGAGCATGTTCCTAGCGTGTGTGAGGCCCCGGGTTCGGTCTCCAGATCCGCACATACAAAAAAATCATCCTGGCAACCCCAAAATGCCGATCACAAAACCATGGAAGGTAAGACTTCTCCAAGGGTTTTCGAGGTGGTGGGGAGTTACGCTGCCTGCTGCAAGGCGGAGCAGCTTTAAGCCCTGCTGTCTCTCTGCCCTCAGCTTCACTCCTCACGGAGCTGCCCAGGTCCTCGCGCCCTTGCTGCCTGTCTCCTGTCTCCCTTCTGCTTCTAACCCCTCGGTGTTGGAGGAGACGCCGTGTCAGGAAGGACCAGTGTGGCAGTCAGGGTTTACAAGGAAATAGATTTAATACAGGACACCTGATGCATAGGATTGTTTCATAACATTCACCAGAGTCACATGCAGAGGAGTGCGGGAGATCTGTCCAGGCCCTGGAGACCCAGAGTCCAGCTGAGGGCCTGGGTCCCACGGCAGTGTCCCCACGAGTCCAGCTGGAGGCCTAGAGCCCACAGCAATGTCTCACGCAGGCCTGTACCAAGGATCTGCCCTGGGAAGGCCCAGAGGCCAGCGGTGGAAGCTAGAAAGTCTGCTAGACAGGGTGAAGGAGGGTGGGAGAGATGCCAGGTTGGCCCCCTCTGTATTTGGAAGGTGCCAGGGACTGGCAGGGTCAGAGCGAAGTCGAAGCCCCTCTGTTCTGCCATAGGGAGCTGAGCCCTGTGCCGTGCGTCTGGGACACAGCTGAGCTTTGTTCCTGGAAGCTGGAGGACGGTGCTGTCCGCAGAGGGTGCTTTCCAGAATCACCCGTCGGGGCCAAGAGCTCAGGCAGGGTCACACCCAGACGTCCGGATGATGGGTGGGAGCCTGAGTGGTTCTGAGCCCAGCCCAGGGCAGAGCAGCCGCTGCTGGAAGCACAGGCAAGCTGAGGAGAGACACCGCCCATGCGGGTGTGCAGGGCTTGCAGAGCTGCGGGGACCCGGCTCCGCCACCATCCCAGGCACGTGCTCCTGTCCCAGCCCTTCAGCGGGACGCTTCCTCCCCTTCCCCCCAGCTGAGGCGCCGAGCTCCCAGCGAGCGGAACCCTCACTGAGGAGTCTGCTGCGCAACTCAGAGCATTCGGGGGCATCTCTCTGCTGGCTCAGGGAGCAGGACCTGCACCCCCCAAGCTCAGGCCAGAGACCCGGGACTCGGGGTCCCTGCTCCCCACCCAGCCCACCACCAGGTCCTGCGGGTCCTGCTTCCGAAATACACATGAAGCCTGCAGCCCGCCCACTCTTCCCCCTGCCACCGCCAAGCTGGCTCCCTCCCCGCAGCTTCTCCCGGCCGCCACGCCCTCCCCAAGCAGCTGCAGGGGCCACACTCAAGCCCAAAATCCTGCAGCCGCAAGCCTCCCCCAGCCCGTCCGTCCTCTCTCCCCAGCCCCACTGCCCTTCCGCCTCCTGCGTGTTTCCAAACTGGCCCTGCCTCAGCCTCGCGCTGCCCCTTCTCTCGCTCCCCCTTAGATATTTATGCATGTTCAGAGGGGAGCCACATGAGAGGGAGCCCCTGCTCAAGGGCATTGGGAGGAGGATTCAAACCCAGGTCTGACCCCCAAGCCAGTGCTGGCAAAGCGACACCCGGCTTCCCCATCCGTCGTCCATCTCACTCATTGATCATTTCAGGTTGGGGTTCAGAAAGGGGAGAGAAGCCAGGAGCGGTGGCGCACACCTGTAATCCCAGCACTGGGGAGGCTGAGGCAGGAGGATTGCCATGAGTTCAAGGCCAGTCAGCTACACAGGAAGACCCTGTCTCAAAAAACAAACCAAAAAGGAAGAAACTCTGAAGAACTGTAAACTGTAACAGACTTGCCATTTCCCCATCTGAACTTTAACACTGTATTTATGGATCAAAAGTTCCCCGAATATGTACAATTGAGGTAAAATAGAAGAAATAGAAGCTCAGCAGAAAGGAGACAGGAAATCACAAGTAAAATTTGTACTTTTTTTTTTTTTTGTCTTTTTGAGACAGGGCCTCACTATGCAGTTCACGCTGGGCTTGAGCTCACTTTGTAGCCCAGGCTGGTCTTGAACTTGGAATGATCCTCCTGCCTCAGCCTCCTGAGTGCTGGCATTACAGGCGTGCGCCACCATACCCGGCTACAGTTTATACTTTTAAAAAGACTACAACTTTTGGGCCCCAGTCGAAGCTACCTAAGGTTACCATATCACGTCTCAGGCTTTTGGCTAAGATCAGGTGTACCCATATCGGAATTCCCTTGGCTTAATTTAGGTTCCTTTCCTAAATTAAGACAAGCAGCCAAAATCCCTCAGGAATACTCAAAGTCCAGAAACTGGCTCAGTTGAGGAAGAAAAAAGCAGGAACCTGATCCTAAGATAAAAGAACAGATTGAGAGAATCCAAAGACTGTTTAAGTTACTTGTTTAAAAAAACGACCAAGTGGGGCTGGGGGTTTAGCTCAGTGGCACAGCGTCTGCCCGCAAGCGCAATGTCGTGAGTTTGATTCCCAGTACCGGAAAAAAACAAACAAACAAACAAAAAGACCAACTGGGCCCATACTTAAGAACAGGCCAGTACCCTTCTGGGGGATGGGCCACCTTTCCTGGGGTTCCACCCCTGAAAAGAAGAAAAATGTTCCCAGGTTCAGGAAATAGTGTACTCTCTTGAGGATCTGCATGCTATTTCTCTGTGTATGCACCGTTTGTTTGTTTGTACAAAATACCAAGGTTACAGGGGGGAAGCTCACAGTTTGTGGAGGCTTCAGTCCGCAGTCAGCTGGCTGCAGGGCAGGGTGGCCTGGCACAGGGGCAACCGTTCATGGCGGCAGAAGACAGCAAAAGCAATGAGAGTGTGTACCTTTTCATTGCTGCCAAATAAAACCCTTCTTGTGCTCCTGACTAGCCTTTCTCTGCCACGAGAGTCAGCAAACTTATTCTACAAAAACAGTGGGTTAGGGCCGGGGATGTACCTCAGTGGCACAAGTGCCTCCCTGGCAAGTGCAAGGTCCTGAGTTTGATCCCTGGTACCCCCCCAAAAAAAGATGTCTAGGTTCCTTATTTTCAGCCTCAGGAACCTCTCAGATCCAGCCCCGTGACACAATTACTGTATATCAGTTAAAAATAAAGATATAGCTGG